GCCTTCTTAAACTCGGAGCGGCTGTAGACTTATGATAGTATTTGTTTAGGATGCTCGGAGCGCTGTAGACTTATGATAGTATTTGTTTAGGATGTGTGTGTGTGTGCTGTTGGGAGGGCTGAAGGGGAATGAGCCCGAAAAGCCGAAAAGCTGAAAAGTGTAGAAAAATCTTGAAAAGTGTACAGGCCCCGAAAATACGAAAAGTCGAAAAGTACAGAAAAGTCCCGGCGAGACCCGAAAAGTCGAAAAGTCGAAAAGCCACGAAAAGTCGAAAAGTAGCGAAAAGTCCCGGCGAGGCCCGAAAAGTCGAAAAGTCGAAAAGCCATGAAAAGTCGAAAAGTACAGAAAAGTCCCGGCGAGACCCGAAAAGTCGAAAAGTCGAAAAGTCGAAAAGCCACGAAAAGTCGAAAAGTAGCGAAAAGTCCCGGCGAGGCCCGAAAAGTCGAAAAGTCGAAAAGCCATGAAAAGTCGAAAAGTACAGAAAAGTCCCGGCGAGACCCGAAAAGTCTAAAAGTCGAAAAGTCGACAGCTTTTCGACTTTTCGACTTTTCGGATTTTTTACGGCGTCTCCGCTTATCTGAAAGCGCGCCAGCTTGCGATCTTAGGTTGAACCCCAAACCCTACACCCTAAACCCTATGGTGCTTAGGGTTTAGGGTTTTGTCCCCCTAAGCTCAGCCCCAAGAGTCTGCCTCCCTCAGGGTCTGCGCCAGCATGTACCAACTCATCATGGCCTGCGCCGTGCCTGAGCTGCAGTGGGAATCCCCCTAAACCCTTAAACCCTAAACCCTTAAACCCTAAACCCTAAACCCTAAACCCTAAACCCTTAAACCCTTAAACCCTTAAACCCTTAAACCCTTAAGCCCTTAAACCCTAAACCCTTAAACCCTTAAACCCTAAACCCTAATCCCTACTAGTGTGCACAGACTTAAGTTGGCTGTTGACCCTGAAAATTCCTAACCCCAAATCCCTACCCCAAAACACGACCTGACACTTTGAGCTTTTTGGAAAAAGGGTTTTGGGTTTTGGGTTTACTTTTTGGGATATGTTGCTTCTTCAGGTTTAGGGCTTCAGGTTCTTCGGCTTTCGGGCTGAAGATTTGACGTCCCAAGATCGTTCTACTACCCCACAGGTGCAAGGAAATGAAGATGCACGATCTCCTTTCGGTTTAGGGTTTGGGGTTTAGGGTGTAGGGTTTAGGGTTTAGGTTTTTAAACTCACATCAGGTACACATGTAGGCATGGTGTGATTTGAGTCTGTGCCTTTCGCATTGAATGCACCCCTGGCCAGAAAGATAGCACTTTTTGGAGGCCGAACTGGCCGGTGTTTTGCTTCTGCCTCTTGGATATGTAGCAAGGCTCACTTTGTTGAACCTTTCCTCTCAGTACAAGTCCCCAATGCTCCAAACCCTACACCCTGAACGAGTTCTCGGCTTGAACAAAGGGAAGACCGTTCTCCAGTATGCAGTCTTACGGCTTACAAGAAGCATATAGCCCACGGCACCGCGCGTCGTTTTCGGAGTGTGGCAAGTCGCAGCAGTGGTTCTCCATTTTGCCGAAGGTGCTGTTTCTATGGTGGCGTTGACAAGCATGAAATGCAGCCGTGAGTTGGTCGAATCAGTGGAGATCGATGGAGAAGAAGAGTCAGGGGTTTAAGTGAATTAAAGTAGGGAGTTTCAGGGGGATATACGGTATCTCATTTGTCCTCATTGCATACTAAAATTTTACAAACCAGCAAGACAAGCTCGACCACATGGCAGCTCCTGCCTAAAGCTCGAACACAGAAGCCGATTCCTCATTCTCTCGCGATTCGGGGGTAGGAGAAGGTTCAGGGCTTATGGCTTGCGTAACTTTTACGTCTTAAGGTACATAATGTAGATCCCTAAGCCTTAAACCCCAAACCCCAAAATCTCGCTCTCCCCAGGTAGTCTTCTTGCTGGTCCTGGACAGTACCACAGCAGCCTGGGACCTGGTGAGGAACCTTGCCCGAGACCTCTAACCCTAAACCCGAAACCCCAAACCCATTCAACATAGCCTCTGGCACACCCTCCGGCCGTTTGAGTTTCTTGACTTGGACGAGGGGGAGAAGCTCGGATTTAGGGTTTGCGGTTTGGGTTTTTTCCAAAATTATTATGAGAGAAATAAATGATGAACACATGCATTTATGAGTTTGCGTTGTTCTTGCTTAGATTTTTCCACTGGGGGGGGGGGGGGGGGGGGGGAGGGGGTGTTACGTAAGCCAAGGTACAGATTTTGGGGGTTTCCGTTGACGTCGAAGGTTCAGAGTTTATTTGAAGGCGTTCTGGCTTCATCAACCCTGAATCCTAAACCGAAGTCCTACATCCTAGACCCTAAACCCTAACCCCTAAACCGAACCCTGAACCCTGAACCCTGAATCCTAAACCGAAGCCCTACATCCCAGACCCGTAGAGCCGGAGGGTAGGGCCTGGGCTGGCTGTTGACTGATGTTCGGGCTTCGGGCTTCGGGGCCTTCGGTTTGGGATTTTGGGATTGCTATTTGCTGTTGTATTTTCCTTTGAAAAGCGAGCAACGCGCAAGAGAAAAGCACATACCAAGAGGAGGAGTTGGCTTTCCGGTTCTTGTACTTAAGAAAATATGTAATCCCTGACGAGAAGGGGGCAGAACGAAGGGTTTAGGGTTTATAGGGTTCAGCTGGGTTCCCTCATTCCCTTCTAAGAATAGTTAGTTGAAGGAGGCTGAGCCTCGCCAGATTGGCAGGTTACCGTCACCACCGACGCCTACTGGTACTGTGAGCTGGCGCCTGGCTTGGGCATAGGCTTTAGGGTTTAGGGTTTAGGGTTTAGGGTTCAGGGTTCAGGGTTCAGGGTTTAGGGTGTAGGGTACCTTAGGGTTGAGGCAGTGCTTCACTTCTGAGGTATGCGATCGGTGTTGCGAAATCTACGAAGCACCACCAGGGCTTATTGCTCACACGCAAGATCATTACAATAGTTTTAGGGCCACCCCGAGCCCTAAACCCTAAACCCTTTAGGGCTGGATGGGTTTTGAGATACAGGGTTGCACCTTTGCATGAGGCTCTTGGGTGGATTTCTTGCTAGACCAGGGTCCTGGTCCGTTAAACCTTAAACCCCACACCGTAGACCCCAGACCCTAATTCAGAAAACTCCGAAAAGCGCCCTAAAGCAAGTGCCTTTCGTACAATTTGTATTCGGGTTACGGTTTAGGGTGCATAGGGGTCTGGTTATGGTTCAGGGGGTACAGGGTGTAGGGTCTAAAGTCTATAGGGGTTACGGGGTTGTTGCGGGTTCTAGGGTTTAGGGGCTCGGCGTTTAGCGTTCAGAGATATAGGGCTGACATGGGTTCAGTTTCAGAGCTTGGGGTGAAAGGATTAGAGTTAGGCTTTGTCATGCAACCGCGCCCTCAAAGGACCCATCGTCATGGCCTACACTTTCTTACGTGCACTTTCGAGGCTCCTATGTACTCAAAACCCGCAACCCCTAGACCTAAAAACCCTAAACCCCTAAAACCCCCCCCAAAAGCCCCTAAACCCTAAACCCCCAAAAGCCCCCTGAACGCCCTACCCCAGGTAGGTCTAACTTAGTAGCTGAATGAGCACACTTAATTTGTTGGATACTAATCTGCTATAGAACTGAAAGTGTACATGTTTTTTTTTTTTGGGGGGGGGGAGGCTTATGAACTCAGTAACTAAGACCCAAAACCCTAAACCCTAAACCCTATACACTCTTTGGGGGCTTATGAACACCAAGCCAAGCAACAACAAGGTGCTCACGATCGTCTGGAGTACAGAGTACCTTCTCCGACTCTGGAGCTGCGTAGAGGAGCGAAGACCTGGGTTTGGGGTTGAGGTTTTTCCGGTTTCGGCCTCAAAGTCCTAAACCCTAAACCCTAAACCCTAAACCCTAAACCCTAAACCCTAAACCCTAAACCCTAAACCCTAAACCCTTTCCACCCTTTCCATAACAGCTCAAGCGTAGCAACTATGGCAGCGCTTGCGCCAATCCGACGCCTTGGGCGAAAGACTAGGAATAAGCCTCGAGGCTCCAAGAAACACGAAATCATAAATCAAAGCGATCACAACGAAGTTAGGGCAGCCCATCTGCGATCATGTCGTTGGCATTCACGTCCCAGCCTTGCTGCCAAAAGCGACTCCACAGCCTCCAACTGCTCTGCCGGGAAGCGCATGTAGACGGAAAGGAGGCGGCACTGGAGAATGGCAGAAGACGGCCGGGTCTCCTGAGTGTACCAGTTTCCACCAGCAGCTTTGACCACGGCCTTGACCTGGGTCAAAAACCAAGTTGCTCGCCGACCTAGGGGAACCTCACGCAACATCTCCTCTGGCCCTGGGGCCGTTGAGTACCATGCCTTCGAAGACTGCCTATAAAATGGTATTTCCATTCCCGTGGCATGTCGGAATGCAAGGTAAAGTTGTGCCAGAGAAACCCAGCGGGGTCGAGCAGCTACAACGCCACCAGCGCCAGTGACCAAACGGAGCCAGTTGCTTAAGACCATCACATAAGGCCTTCCAAACTTGGCGAAAACAGTGGCCAAATCTCGCTCAGGGACCACGGGGCACGTCAGAGATCTTTCATCCGGCACAGGTGGCACCACCTGCAGCTCGACGTCAGCCGGCTCACGCTGCTTGCGTTTTGCCCTGCACGAAGCACGTCCGATGGCCCTGTGGAGGCCCAAGACGATGCTGCCCACATGCTGCTGGTACGCCACGTCACGACGCACCTCATCCCAGATATCCCAGAACCGCTGTGGCCTCGCGCGATTGGCCTGCTTCGCTGCCCCATCGACCTGATCATTGTTGTGGCGTATCCATTCCTCAAAGAAAGTGGCATCCTCCCCCAATGCCTCATGCGCTGGAACCTTAAAGATGCCCCCAAAACGGTCAGGATATTCCCACAAAATGTCTCGGACCTGCAGCCAAAGGTCGGCGTTTCGCGCCGTTGGCGTAACGAGCCGAACCGACCCCTCAACCAACCCCCGAACACCCCGAACTACCCCCAGACAATCACTCCAAAGGCGAACCCTGCGTCCGAGGCCTGCGCATACTTGAGGGCAGACAGAACTGCGGACAGCTCGCCGCGATAGGCAGTCTGCACAAGGCCTGGCACCGGCCCTGCGGCAAGGATGACTGCTGGCTCGCCCACAGGGGCCGCAACTGTGACAGCCCAAGCTGCCAAACGCAGGTGGTGTTCTCTTGGAAGCAAACATGACCCATCGGTAAACAAGTCGATCTGATCTTCTGCCGAATGCGGCACCTGAAAATCACAAAGCAAGCACGGTATGCCGAGCAGTTCTTGCTGTAGCACGTCAAGCTCACGCGGCTGCATGCACCAACCATGCATGGACTGGCACGGCGGTAAGTCCTCGAAAGTGAAAGTGCTCCCCCGAAGGGCCTGCTGGCGCTCGCGGTTGAAAGCAGTGCAGCGCCAAACCCTATGCTCAACGCCGTCACGCTGGTCGCAAAAGGGACATAATGGCGAATCGCCGCCTCCAATGTGGTGCAAGGCATCCTCTGTAAAGAAGGCCCCTGTGAGCGTGATGCGTATCAAGGCCCTGTCCTCAGCCGGCCACTGGGCTGTAAGCTTGCGCGTGAGGACAGGATCAGCCTGTCTCAACCCTGCAAACCCTCGCCGATGCTGCACGCGGGATGCGATGGATCCCTGCCATGCGCGAACCAATCGCAGCTCAACCTCCTGCATGGAGGTGGCCCAAGGATCAAAAGCCCCCAGTGAATCCTCCAGCATCTGCACTTCGGGCCTCCAAGCCAAACCCACCGCATTACACCTACCCAACCAAACCGAAACCGGCCCCGCGCCTACAGGAAGTGCCCCCACAGCAATGGGATCGGCCAACTGGCCCACTGTTGCTGGCGACCCATGGGTTCGAAGATCTCTGAATGTGGAAAGAAGCGCAAAGAAGGCAGGATCGGCCACCGGATAAACAGTGAGCCCCAACAAAACAGCTGGGTTGAGCCCAGGCCGCTTGGCCCCTAGCCCTCGCACAGCCGCACTACGCAACCCGTCAAAGTGCCCATCCCCCAAGAGAACAACCGAAATGCCATGAAGCGCGCGCGGCCAGGCCGCCACTGAGGGCGCACGAAGCTTCTGCTCAAAGGGGGCAGGTGACAGCTGAAGCCGCGACCAGAGGGGCTGCATTGATTTAATCCTGGTCGTGATGGTATAGACAGATACACGTTTAGAGAAGGACAGATGGCCCCCTAAATCACGAGCATCCAGCGTGGTCTGGAAACCTTGGTTTCGAAGTGCCTTCCGGGCTTCCGCGGTTGTCGCCCAGACCTGAGTTTTAGACTCATCCAGCGCGATGTCCCAGGATTGCGCAAAGGCCTTGGTGGCTTGGACTGCCTCCGGGATGACGGCCGGATGGTGTGTGAGATGCTGCCAGTCGTCCACGAAGGAAATGACTTTGGAAAGAGGCACCTGTGCTGCTATATGATGATGGAGTGCTAAGTCAACCAGCGCCATGGCGACAACGGACATGGCATCGCCTTCTGGAAAGCCTGCATTGGCAAGCAAGGCCGGACCGACGGAACCACGTACCTTAAACCTGCGCTGCACCCCAGTTAAAGCGCCGGACCAACCTCTCACCAACCCAGCCGGGAGGCCAACCAACTCGGCAAGAGCAAGAACTGGCACCCTGGGCAAAGTGTTGAAGGCTTTCTGCAAATCAAGGGCAGCCCCTGCCAGAACGTAGCCCTGGGCTTGCGCACGCTCCACCTCTGCCTGAAGCTGCCACCAAATGGTAGCCGCAGCCCTCCCCGGCATGTTGCCATACGGCGTGTCAGGCACCACTCCCCGGAGATAGGCCAGCGCCTGACGCGCGCGGATAGACCCCCAAACCCTATATGACAACGACAAGACCGTTATTGGCCTGTACTGCGTCACCTCCCTGGCGTGTGGCACTTTTGCCAACGCTGCCACTATGCCTACCAGCATTTGTTCAGGCCATTTCCCGGTGTCGGCTTCCTGGTAAATGGCCAACATGCCTTGCACAAGATCCGAGGGAAGGCGCAACAAGTCATCGCGTGACACGCCGTCAGGCCCTATGGCTGCCGAAGACCGCTTCGCCCGCGCCGCCGCTCGCCATGTCTCTTCAGAAATGGGCGCGAGCACCATAGGTCGGCCTTGGGGCAACGGAAAGCTGGCCAAACAGGCCGTCCCACCTATGCGCCTCCAAGTGGTCCGGCCGGATCCACCTTTGAATCCATTCTTTGGCGAAGGCTTGGAAGATTTGGGGGAGGTCCCCGAGCAGCACGTCCTGGCGCACCAAGTCGTTCGGGCGCAGGCTTGCGACGTCGCCCCACAAACATTCCTCCTCTGTGTGATGCACCTCAAGCGCCCGCTCGCCCACATGAAACGGAAGCTCTGGCACCCAAGCCGGCGAACCATCAAGCACCACCAACCCCTCATCAGCCCTCACTCTGGCCTTGGTGCCTGAGACAAGGGTCTCTACCGGCTCAGCCTGATCAGGCTTCATGTCCCGAAAAATCAAAGATGGATTGTCCACCCGGCGCTGCTGCGCCAGTTTGCGCGTGTGCTTCTTAAGTTGGCTTTCCAAGTCACGGAAACAAGCCTCGAACGTCTGAAAGATTTGCTGCGCACACTGGGCCCCTGGCGGGTTGACAGGCATCCTGTCTGGATCCCCAGCCATGCGAACTTTGCGACATAGCCACCACTCTGCAAACGACGGTTTGAAACCTGCTGCTCGGCGAACAGCGCGCCACCGATTGGCTTGGGCTTCGGCTCGGCCTTCCGACCTTGCCGCGCTGCACGCGACCTGCATGTAGGCCTGCAAACGACGAAGCTGCTTGAACCACCGACCGAACCACCAATCCCCACCAAAGAAGGTTACCTCGGCCTCACCATGCCTGCCCTTAGTCATCGGTACGGGAGCCGTGCGAACAAGTTTGGTATCCAGGGTGGCTGCCCGGCCACGTTGGGCCTCAGTCAAGGGCTCGATTTGTCGCGTGCTTCTGTCGTCGGACCATTGGTCCTCATACTGGCGCCACAAGGAAGAGTAGGCCTGTGAAGGGCGAGATGTGTCCAATGGCACGGCTGGCTGCATCGACAGCGGTTGCACCTTTGCCTTCGGTTCAAGCGCAGGCTGGGGCATGCGCCAACAAAACCGCGATAACATGGCCTGACCTCCTAAGAACGTGCCCGCCAGCACTGCATGGTCCGCAAAAACGTCATGCTGCACCTGCACCTCGCACAGCATGGAGGCAAGCTCAGGCGACACCCACAGGTGGTCTTTCTGAGTGGCATGCTTGCATGTAGACTGCACCTGCCAGCCCCATCTCGCTGCCGCGACCGCCTGAATTTCACGAAACCCATGCTGGCACCATTCGGGGTGGGCAGCTTCAAGCTGTTGAGGCAGGACAACAAACCTTGGGCCGCGAGAGTTAAGCACCAACCGCTCAGTGACCGCATCTAGAAGAACGTGCGTCTTGGCTTGGTCCGCCGGGTAGCCATAAACCACTGCCCCTTGGACCCAAAAAGGAGCCACGTAAAAAGAGGCCAATTGGACGCGTGCGGTATTCCACACATCCTGGTGCCACCCGGTCGGGGATGCCCGGACGGGATATGAAGATGCAAAGCCGACTCCTGTGTATCCACCTGAAGTTTGGCTTCCGGTACGCGGCCTGGTTCAAACGCAGACCTTGCCTAAACTGGCGCAAGCCTTGGGCTGAAAGATGAGTCTCAGATATGCCCCAGATGCCAGGATGGATCGTTGAAAGAACAGAGGCCTTTCCATTCAACCCTGTCGGGTTAATGGCGCCAACCTGAAACCTACCTGATTGCCGGACAGGTCCTGGATGGCACGCCTCACCCCAATGAAAAGAGAGAAAGAAAGCAAGCCAAACAACGTGCCACCAACCACCGCATCCGCGGAATGCTCGCGGCACCTCGCACCTACCCACAGGGCAGCTGACCTGCGCACCCCAACCCCTAAACCTAAACCCTAAACGCCAACCCCCGAACCCTTCAGGGCGCCTCTCGTCCCCATGTGAGTAGACCACCAGAAGGAGTCCTCAGGCCTGAGCCCTGAACCCTATAAGCCATGAAGCCCAGAGCCCCGGTTTAGGGTTTAGGGTTTAGGGTTTAGGGTTTAGGGTTTAGGGTTTAGGGTTTAGGCGGTTCAGGGCTTGGGCTTAGGGCTTAGGATTTAGGGTTTAGGGTTTGGCTAGAACTAGAACACGTGCGGCAGGGCGGCTCCTCGGTACCCTCCACGGAGCTTCGCCGCTGCGTTGACGCTCTGATTTCCTTTCCCCCCCGCGGAAGCGGGGCCGGGGGGGTTCAGGGGCTTGTAAGTGCTGAGGTCGTTGTTCAGTATTTTCGTCGTTTTCGGTTTAGGGGTTTGGCAGGGGCTGTAGGGTTTAGGGGTATTTTTTGGGTTTAGGGGTTCAAGGGTTGAAAGTTGAAGGATGCAGGCTTCGGAGGTTCAGGGCTTCGGGTCGGGTTGGGACTTCTGTTTCAAGGGCTTGCGCATTGGGACTTTACGGTTGAAGGTTTCAGGTCTTGGGGTGGGGCACCCTAAACCTACAGAACTAAGAAGCCCAGACCGGAACCCCAAACCTTCAAACCCAAACAGTCGAGCTTGAAGTTTCGCATTTTGCAGGGACTATCACATTTGGCCTTCGTATTCCTTGTCCTAGACCTAAGCCCTCCGCCAATAACAGCCCTAGCTCCCTGTATCAACCCTAAGCCCTAAACCCAAGGCCCTTAAATCCCAAGACTCTAAACCCCCAAACTGTAGACCTCAAACCCTTACCACCCGTAATCCTTAACGCCCTGGATTCCTGTCTCCTAAACCCTATCTTAAAGCCCCGAAAGGCCCAGACCATCAAACCCGTAAGCCCTTGTAAAGCCTGAAGCCCGAAACCTTTAGACCCCTAAGACCCCTAAGATCCCTAAACCCCTAAGACCGCTAAGGCCCCAAACCCCTAGATCCTGAGCCCAAAATCCTAAACCCTGAGCCCTAAACCCTAAACCCTAAACCCTGCATCATCGGGGACGAGAATCATACACGGACTCAAGACCTGCCCTAAACCCTAAATCCTACAAAGGCTGTGAAGCAGCAGTTTTTCTTTCTCAGGTAAGGCTGAAGGCCGCGCTGCACCCGCTGATGTTGGTAGACCTTCTGCTGAAGCCTCAGAGGGTTTAGGGTTTGGGGTTTAGGGTTTAGGGTTTCAGGGTTTCAGGGTTTCAGGGTTTCAGGGTTTCAGGGTTTCAGGGTTTCAGGGTTTCAGGGTTTCAGGGTTAGGACTGTACAGGTTTTAACTGCAGCTCCCGAGGCGGCTTGTTCAGGGTATAGGGTTTGGGGTTTGGGGTTGTTGCCGGGTTTTAATTGGGGTCTTGTTCAGACCTTTTGTTTGTTTTTTTTTTTTGGGAGAGGGGGGGGGGGGGGTTCTTGTGTTCATTTACAGGATGCCGCCACTGTTGGGCTTCAGCGGCTTTCAGGGTGTTCGGTTTTTGCTGGTTCACGGGGGCTTTAGGGTTTAGGGTTTAGGGTTTAGGGTTTAGGGCAGTGTCAGACTTTGGGGTCTTGGGGTTGTGTGGAGTTCCCTGGGTGGGAAGTCCTGGAGATGTGAGGACAGTGCAAGCGCCCAACATACCCAACCCTAAAACCCTCAACCCTACAGATAGACTTCGAACCCTAAACCCTAAACACCAAAACCCTAAAACCGTACACCCTTTAAAACCCTGAGAGCCCTAACCCTAAACCCGAAAACCGAAAACCACACAGATGAACCTTGAGGCCACAGCGCGAATTCGCGAACCCTGCCCTCCACCCGAACGATCAAGCTGAGGGCATGCTAGCTTGACAGAGGTTTATAGGGTTTAGGGCTTCCGGGGTTCCTAAACCCTAAACCCTAAACCCTAAACCCTAAACCCTACTCCCCCCCCCCCCCAAACCCCCCTGAACCCCCCTAAACCCTAAGGTCGCTGGTCTCTCTGGTGATCGCAGCTCTGCCGCTCATGGAGGGCTTACATGGGGAAGGTCTAGGCGCCCTGCAAAGCTTACAAACCCTAAACCCTACCCTAAACTTGAAGCCCTAAGCCCTGAAAGGCCTAAGCCCCTAAGCCCCTAAGCCCTAATCCCAAACCCTAAGCCCTGAAGCCTTGAAGCCCTGAAGCAAGTGTGAGCTTACTCGCAGGGCTTTAGGTTTGGCGGTTTTGGGGGGGTTTGCGGGTCTTGGAGTTGATGGTTTAGGGCTTAGGGCTTAGGGCTTAGGGCTTAGGGTTTAGGGTTTAGGGTTTAGGGTTTAGGGGGTTTGGGCTCTGAGCGTAATTACTGTGACCAAATTTCAGTGGGGTTTGAATTACGTCAGAGCAGCTCCGAAACCGAACCCAGAACCCTCAAACCCCTAAACTTCACCGGGGGTGTTTCGGGGTTTGGGGGGTTCTGGGGGGCTTTCGGGGATTTGGGGGGTTGGGGGGTTTTGCGGGGTTTCGGGGTTTTGGGGGCTTCGAAAACTCTGACGCAAACTCTCAAATCCTTACCTGCCAGGCCCAACCCCGGCGAAACTCTGGTCAAAGCCTTCAAGCTTTAATGTCCGTCGCTTCCCCAAACCAGAAACACCTTGACACCTGAGTTCCTCAAGAGCCCCCTCCCGGTTTCTCCTCTCCCCCACAAAAGAAGCGTTACAAACAAACACACACACACACACACACACAACCCCAAACCCTGAACCCTAAACCCTGAACCCTAAACCCTAAACCCTAAACCCTGAACCCTGAACCCTGAACCCTGAACCCTGAACCCATACCTTTAAGCTTTAGACCCCTTAGGACCTCCAAATTGACTCCAACCAGCTGCGGGGCCTCGGGGCCCTTCGTTGCTGGGCGATGAATTTGGGCTTTTTTGTTGGGGGGGGGGGGGGGGGTTTAGGGTTTAGGGTTTGGGGTTTGGGGTTTGGGGTTTGGGGTTTTGGGGTTTTGGGGTTTTTGGGTTTAGACTTTTAGGGGATAGGGTTTCAGGGGTTAGGGCTTTAGAGTTTAGGCTTAGGGTTTTTAGGCGTAGGGTTTTAGAGGTTATAGGGTTTAGAGTCTAGGCCTTTATAGGGTTTAGAGTTTAGGGTTTAGGGCCTCGTTTAAGGTTGTTAAGCGTGCTTGAGAGGACTAGGATTGTGGGTTCAAGGACTTAGGCTTGAAAGCCCCTCAAGGCCAAGCTCTTGCCCGTCAGCAAGCGTGTTCAGCCCGAACGCCTTGAACCTCCCTAAACCCTGAAAACCCTTCGAACCCAAAATCATTTTACAACCCCCCATCAATTCCCAAAAGCTACTCTTATGTGGCTACCCAAGAACCTTCCAAACAAATGGGGCTTTGTGGCAACAACCTACATTAGGGTTCAGGGTTTAGGGTTTACGTAGCCTTTATGTTTGTCCACCTAAACCCCAGGTATGCTCCGAGTCTTCACCCTGCTGCGGGTCGAGAGGGTCGCTTGGCCATGGCCTTTCCTTCTGGGCAGTTCAGAATTTAGAGTGTTGGGGTTTAGGGTTTAGGGTTTCGGGTTTAGGGTTTCAGAGTTGGTGGTGCGGTACAAGGGTGCCCAGATTCCAGAACCAAGAACCCCAGACACCTCAACCAGCCTAGCAACCAAAGCGTCATGTAGGTTTAGGGTTGAGGGTTCAGGGTTTAGCTTGAGGGTTGAGGGCTGAGGGTTGAGGGTTTAGGGTTAGGGTCTAGGGTCTAGGGTTTAGGGTTTAGGGTTTAAGGTTTAGGGTTGATGGTTTATGGCCGCTTAGTAGAATTGAATGTGAACTTGGATGCGGGCAAGGACAGGAAGCCCAGAACAAGTTCGCCTAGAACCCCAAAGCCCCAAGCCTAGGGAATGTACCGCTCAGGCTTTAGGCTTTAGGCTTCAGAGTGTAGGGAACCCTAAACCCTAAACCCTAAACCCTAAACCCCAAACCCTCGACAAGGATTGGAGAATCTGCAATCCATTGATCTCCGTGCTGGTCAAGGAGGCTGGCCGGCTGCAAGCTAGGAGCGAGAGTGGGCGCTTGTGAAAGCAGAGGGTTTAGGGTTAAGGGTTTGGGGTTTAGGGTTTGGGGGTTAGGGCTTAGGGTTTTGTGCTTGGGAGCCCTAGGCAAGGCAGCTTTCTGGGACTGGTTGTGGTGAAGCGGGTTTGGGGTCTCAGGGTTGTTGGGGGATTTATGGGGTGTAGAGCGAGTCTCAACCCTAAACCCTAAACCCACGAGTAAGGAATGGGAGGGAAGGCGTTGGTTTCATTTTGAGCTTTGGGGTTGAACAAACGGCCTCGCGCGTCCTGTTTTCTTCGGTGCTTAGGGGTGAAAGGGGGCTTTCGGGGTTTAGGGTTAAGGGTTTAGGATTTAGGGTTTAGGATTTAGGGTTTAGGGTTTATGTAAGTTACTTGGAAGGCGAAGCTCTTGGGCGGCGCGGTCGCCATTGCCATGACCATGCTCATCTGTTGTTCAGCCTCTTTGGCATGACCTACGACCCAGACTAGGCCCTTATTTAAAACTTGCCCCCCTTTTTTTTTTTTTTTGGGGGGGGGGGGGGGTTAGGGTTTAAGGTTTCAGGACTTCGGCCCTGATTCCCTTGCTTTAGAGTTCCGGTGACCTTAACAGCCCCTTTACACCAAAAGGGGCATGTAGGTTGGGATGTTCCCCCTTCTACTAACACCCCTCATTCTACTCCCTATTAAGGACTGTTAGTAGAAGACGGAACATCCCAAGGTGTGGGGCTTAGGGTGTCACGTTTAGGATTCCCTGGGCCCCCTCCACCCCTGATTCTTCCCTATATGCACATGCACATGATGGAGTCAGAAGAAAGCTCCACCCCTGAAGTAGAGGCATGACGTCTTGGGCTCTTCTGCGCACGCCTTGCCAGGTGGACTTTAGCCTCCCACTTCCCTAAACCCGGTAGTTAAACCCAAAAACCTCACAGGCTAAACCCTAAGCCCTAAACGCGAAACCCTAAACCCTAAACCCCAAACCCTAAACCCTAAACCCCGAGCCCGAAGCCCCCTGTGCCCCCTGAGCGCCAGACCCCCTTCGGCAGCTCAGGTGATCATGTTCTACGTCGAGGCACCTTCGAATCCCAAGTTTGGCCCGGCGCTGAGAGGGGGGTCAGCTCTCTTTTTTCATGGCTTGCCAGGGTTTCCTGCTTTAGAGAACAGGGTTTAGGGTGTAGTGTTGCTAGCGTTGAGATTGTTGCTGTTATGTGGGGTCGCAATAACTTCGAGTAGTCTGACCCTATAGTTCCTCTATGAGTATACCATAAGCGTGGGTTGGGTCGTGAACGAGGTCGTGAACGGAAAGTCCTGTGGGTCTGCCCGGGTGCACCCTAAACCCTACATATGTTTAGGGCTTAGGGCTTAGGGCTGAGGGCGCTTGATCCTAAACCCCGATCCCTGCATACACTTCTAGTTTGTTGGGCTGGACGCCCAAACCCTAGCTCCTATAGGGTTTTGGGGGAGTTTGGGGTTTACATTTACAGGGTTTAGGGTTTAGGGTTTGGGTTTAGGGAAACGTGTTTTGGGTTTTCAGGGCTTTCAGGTCTTCTGCTGGATCAGAGCGGGGTTAGGGCTGTAAGGGCCCCATGGTGCCCGATTACTTTCTTCGCCGGTTCTTGACCCTAAACCCTGAACCCTAAACCCTAAACCCGAAACCCTAAACCCTAAACCCTAAACCCGGTGTAGAAGCGAGGGATGCCACATCGACACAGCATCCGCTCGACAATCAGCCCTGAAATCTTCTCTAGGGATAAAGATTTGGGTTTTTCGGGGCTTTAGGGTTTCTAGGGGCCCGTAGAAAGGCCAAAATAGGGCCAATATTGGGTTTGGGGTTCAGGGTCTAGGGTTCAGGGGTTTAGGGTTTAGTGTTTAGGGGGCCCTCAACCCGGTCAACCCCATATTTGCCCTGTATTGGCCTCTCTATGAGCCCCTGCAAACCCGAAACCCCAGAAACCCAAACTGTATATCCCTAGACACCCGAAACCCCATAAACCATAAACCCTAAACCCTAAACCCTTCGAACCCTACCCGACACTGCAGGCAGTGTAGCCGACTGCCTGTGGTGGGGGACCACGGCCCTCACGACTGTCACCGTGTGGCATCTACAGGGTTCCGTTTTGGCGTGTTGTTAGGGAGCTTTGAGATTTTTAGGGGTTTGCTTTAAGGATTTGGGGGGGGGGGGGTTGTGGTTGTGGTTCTGGGGGGTTTAGGGTTTGGAGCGTTTAGGGTTTCGAGGGTCTTGGGGGAGGTTTTGAGAGGGGATCTTAATCGGAGATAGCCCCTTCACAAAGCTTGGGTTGTTTTTGGGGGAGCCCGAGACCCTTGAGCCCTAACCCCTACAGACCGAACGGCCCCGTAGAGGCCGGAATAATTTCTAGCAATATTCCCCTACAGTCCCTTTGTAATTATACTGTAGTAGCCTCGAAATCTCCCGGAGCCCAAAACCTTCAAACTCTAAACTCCAAACCCTACACACCCCAAACCCGACCCATAAACCCCTAAACCCTCAACCCTAAAGCCCTAAACCCTGAACCCTAAACCCCACGCCCTCCCCGAAGCCCAGATCTGAGGTGGGCTATGGGGACCTGTACCCTGAGAGTGCCATGGGCCGGCTGGTCGCAAGCATCACGGCCTTCCTAGGCAAGCCAGGGCTCTCAGGGTTTAAGGTTTAGGGTTTAGGGTTTAGGGTTCAGGGTTCAGGGTTCGGGGTTCAGGGTTCAGGGTTCAGGGATCAGGGTCTGGTGTTGGGCTGAGGTTTGGGGGTTCAGCGTTGAGGCTTCGGTGTGTTTAGGGTTCTAGGGTTGACTTTTGAGGTTCAGGCCTTAGAGGGGTTCAGGGTTTACGGCTAAAGGATTTCAAGGCTCAGCTTTCAGATGTGTATGGCGCCAGTTCTCGCATGTAAGGTTGTTTTTGGCCCCTGTTAGACTGCGGTCCCTTTACGCAGGTGACCCCAAATCGCAATTCAGCGGGCTGGTTTCCGGTTTCTGGCTTCCAGGGCTAGGGCATTGAGAGAGAGAGAGAGAGAGAGAGAGAGAGAGAGAGAGAGAGAGAGAGAGAGAGAGAGAGCGAGAGAGAGAGAGAGAGACAGAGAGAGAGCGAGAGAGAGCGATGGAGAGAGAGAGAGAGTTTGAGTGAGACAGAGAGAGACAGAGAGAGAGAGAGAGAGAGAGAGAGAGAGAGCGAGAGAGAGCGAGCGAGAGAGATGGAGAAGTTTCGGGCTGGGGATTTCAAGGCTGGGGTTTAGACTATTTGTCGGTTTTGGGGTAATGTATAACCCTAAACCGTAAACCCTAAACCCTATTCTAATTATGGAGGCCCCTATATTATTTTGTGGGTTCATGAATTTATTTGTCGGGCTGTTTCATAGTTCACTTCTTTCCCTGCAAATGATCGCAGGAATCGGCCTCTTCGCATTGCCAGGCCAGCACCCTCAAACCCCCAACCCTAACCCCTAGGGTTTCTGGTTTAGGGTTTAGGGTTTAGGGTTTAGGAATCTAGGGTTTAGGGTTTAGGGTTTTAGGGTTTTAGGGTTTAGGGTTGTAGGGTTTTAGGGTTTTAGGGTTTTAGGGTTTTAGGGTTTTGGGAACCCCAAACCCTGGACCCTTGGTTTGCTCACCTGCGTGGTGTTTGCTGGGCCTCGAACCCTATGTTCACCCCCACCGCCCTAAACCGTAAACCCTAAACCCTAAACCTTAAAGTAGACCCTGAAAGCTACAACAGGAGCAAACTAGCAACTAGGGTGTAGGGTGCACAACGAATGTAGAAAGTAAGATTTCGCGCGGCCTTTGTGGTGTCCAAGAAACTCCGACCTCTAAACTCTAAACCCTAAACCCCAAACCCCAAACCCTAAACCCTAAACCCTAAACCTCTCTTCATATATATATATATATATATATATATATATATTTTTTTTATTTATGTATTTATTTATATTTATTTATTTATTTAAACCCTAATGAATTCGTCGAATAAGCCAAGTCCTGCGTCGAATAAGCCAAGTCCTTCGTCGAATAGGCCAAGTCCTTCGTCGAATAAGCCAAGTCCTTCGTCGAATAAGCCAAGTCCTTCGTCGAATAAGGCAATCCTTGCTTATTTGCCTTATTCGACGAAGGACTTGGCTTATTCGACGAAGGACTTGGCTTATTCGACGAAGGACTTGGCTTATTCGACGAAGGGCCGGATCCTGGCCACTCTCCGACATTCGTCGAATAAGCCAAGTCCTTCGTCGAATAAGCCAAGTCCTTCGTCGAATAGGCCAAATCCTTCGTCGAATAAGCCAAGTCCTTCGTCGAATAAGCCAAGTCCTTCGTCGAATAAGCCAAGTCCTTCGTCGAATAAGCCAAGTCCTTCGTCGAATATGGCAAGCCCTTCGTCGATTAAGTCCTTCGTCGATTTGTGTCAAATGGGTATGGTGCGAGGGTGGGGTGGGGAGCCTCCCCGGGGGTCCAAAAAATTCTTCTGGGGTCTAATGTTAAGGGTTCAGGAATCTCAATTTCTGTAATTTTATTCATTTTCTTGGTTTTCTATTGTTTTTGTTTCGTTTGGGTGCCTGGGGGAGCTTCTGGGGGCCTCCGTGAGCTTCTGGGAGCCTCCCGGGGTCCAAAAAACTCTTCTGGGGTCTAATGTTAAGGGTTCGGGAATCTAAATTTCTGTGATTTTCTTTATTTTTCTTGGTGTTTTATTGTTTTTGTTTCGTTTGGGTGCCTGGGGGAGCTTCTGGGGGCCTCCGTGAGCTTCTGGGAGCCTCCCGGCGTGCAAAAACTCTTCTGGGGTCTAATGTTAAGGGTTCAGGAATGTAAATTTCTGTAATTTTCTTCATTTTTCTTGGTTTGTTTATTGTTTTGAGCTTCTGGGGGCCTCCTTGAGCTTCTGGGAGCCTCCCCAGGGTCCAAAAAACCTCTTCTGGGGTCTAACGTTAAGGGTTCAGGAATCTCAATTTCTGTAATTTTCTTCATTTTCTTGGTTTTTTATTGTTTTTGTTTCGTTTGGGTGCTTGGGGGAGCTTCTGGGGGCCTCCTTGAGCTTCTGGGAGCCTCCCGGATCCAAAAAACTCTTCTGGGGTCTAATATGTTAAGGGTTCAGGAATCTCAATTTCTGTAGTTTTTTTCATTTTTCTTGTTTTTTTATTGTTTTGGTTCGTGTGGGTGCCTGGGGGAGCTTCTGGGGGCCTCCTTGAGCTTCTGGGAGCCTCCCCAGGGTCCAAAAACCTCTTCTGGGGTCTAATGTTAAGGGTTCAGGAATCTCAATTTCTGTAATTTTCTTCATTTTTCTTGGTTTTTTATCGTTTTTGTTTCGTTTGGGTGCCTGGGGGAGCTTCTGGGGGCCTCCTTGAGCTTCTGGGAGCCTCCCCGGGGTCCAAAAATTCTTCTGGGGTTTAATGTTTAGGGTTCAGGAATCTTAATTTCTGTCATTTTCTTTGTTTTTCTTGGTTTTTTATTGTTTTGTTTCGTTTGGGTGCCTGGGGGAGCTTCTGGGGGCCTCCTTGAGCTTCTGGGAGCCTCCCCGGGGTCCAAAAACCTCTTCTGGGGTCTAATGTTAAGGGTTCAGGAATCTCAATTTCTGTAATTTTCTTCATTTTTCTTGGTTTTTTATTGTTTTGTTTCGTTTGGGTGCCTGGGGGAGCTTCTGGGGGCCTCCTTGAGCTTCTGGGAGCCTCCCCGGGTTCCAAAAAGTTCCTCTGGGGTCTAATGTTAAGGGTTCAGGAGGTCTCGTTTTTCTGTTGGGCTTTTCCTTATTGTATTCTTTGGGGTCTTTGGAGAGCTTTTGGCACAAATGGGTGCGAAGTGAGGGTTTATGAGAAGATGCGTACGATAAAAAATAGAAACTCTATATTTTCGTAATTTATGGGACCCTCTGGGCGGGTGGGTTTTTGTCTGGTTGCTCGAACCCCTTCTAAACTAGTAATGTCCTGGCCCTGCCAATCCTAAACCCTGAACCCTGAACCCTAAACCCTAAACCCTAAACCCTAAACCCTAAACCCTAAACCCTAAACCGCCCCGCCCAGCTGGTATCATCACCACTGGCTTCCGACTGGAAGAGGAGCGGAGGCTTCAAAGGAAGCTGGGGCGCTCAGCCGTTCAGGTAGCCCCTAGGCACCCTAAACCCTAAACCCTAAATAAACCCTTCAGGAAGCCCTGAAGCTTGCAAGCCTAGAGTGGCCTAAGCTGCAGCAAGCCCAAGCGAGGGTTTCCAGGTGGCTACCCGTGCCCACTACAGCCCTAAACTAGGTTTAGGGTTTAGGGTTTAGGGTTCAGGGTTTGTGTGGCTTAGGGTTTAGGGATCAAGCCCAGTTGCAATCAACAATTGGGATCAGGATGCTAAGAATCTCGCCTAATATAGGGGTCGGAAGAAGTACTAATAGTAATGCACTTATAGTCCCCATATAGTTATACCATACTCGCCCCCAAAACCCCGTTCTCATAATTGAGGCCCTTTATCTTTAGCCCTCAACCCGAATCCGTTTTTTTTCAAACACCCTCGGGTTAGACAAACAAGTCCAGGTCACCATCTCTGCCATGGAAGGCTAGGCTTTTTTCAAAGCCGGGATCCAGGGTTGTTCAGGGTTGTGGGGTTAAGGGTTTAGGGCACTTGCCCTAAACCCTGAACCCTACACCCCCTAAACCCTAAACCGTAAACCCGAAACCCTAAACCCTAAACCCTAAACCCTAAACCTGAACCTCAACGGCTGATCGGACCCAGGCTATCCGTGCCTCTGGACGAGGAGATGTCTCCTTCCGACGGCGGGATACAGGTCTGCCCGGCATGCCATCCTGGATCCTCCTACCCGGGGTTTAGGGTTTAGGGTTTAGGGTTTAGTGGGTTTAGGGTTTAGGTTTAGGACCCCAAACCCGCAAACCTCCAAAACCAAGAGCTCAAAAAAAAACCCTCAACAGCCTGCAAAAGGTTCCCAGTTGAGGCCAGCACGCCCCCCAAAATCGTTCAGGGTGAGGGTTTAGGGTGTAGGGCTTAGGGTTTAGAGTTTAGGGTTTAGGGTTTAGATTTTATGGTCTAGGGGTCTAGGGGGTCTAGGGGTTAGGGTCTAGCGACTCGCTAGACTCAAATGCATTCTCGGCTTTGTAACTTCTGCAACCCTCCTTTAAATCTGGAACCTCTCTCGGACCCTGGAAAGACCCGATGTTAAACCCGTTTAGGGTTTAGGGTGTAGGGTTTAGGGGTTACGCCCGAAGAAACACCCAGACCTTAAACCCTCAAGCCCCAGAAGGATTTTCAGCTGGAGCTTCTTCGCGGCATCCAGCGCTTGGAGAAAAAACTCGAGGGTCTGGAGCACAAACTGGAGGACCTGCGGTTTCGCGTTGAAGGTTGTTGGTTTCTGGTTCTAGTTTAGGGTTTGGGTTTCGGGCTTCAGCGTGAAGGGTTTAGGGTTTAGGGTTTAGGGTTTAGGGCTTATAAGTTTTGGGACTTCGGGCTTTAGGCTTTTCGAGGTTCCATGCCCTCTAAGGCTGCGCTCAACGACCTCTTTTGCGGTTTGCGGAGGGTTTAGGAACCGCAAACCCTGATCGGCCAATCAGCCCTCAAATCCTCCCCTTCCACCCTAAACCCTAACACCCTGGTTTAGGGGATTAGGGTTTGTCCCGCCGCAGAACCCCGGACTTCCCAAACGCCGAAACCCCCAAAGTCCTTTAAACCCCTCAAGAACCCAAAAGCTCTCAAGCACCCTAAGCTCTTACGTACCACCTTGTAGAAACGCCAAATGCGTCTCAAGACCGTGGTGAAGCTGGAACTTCAGTGCCCGTGAAGTTGGAGGTAGTGAGCGTGCGTGTAAAAGACAAGAACCCGTGACATCAGCACATTGCTCTTCCCCTGAACCCTAAATCCTAAACCCTAAACCCCAAACCACAAGCCACAAACCCCAAAGGGATTCCGGGGACGAGCTGAGTTGCAGGACATGCATGGCGAGATTCAGACCCTCAAGACCGACAGGCACAAGGCCTAGGAGAAAAGAGCCGGCGCCTGGGGGTTTAGGGTTTAGGGTTTAGGGTTTAGGGTTTAGGGTTTAGGGTTTAGGGTTTTAGGGTTCTGTCTGTGTGTGTGTGTGTCAGTCAGAGAGAGAGAGAGTCGGCTATGCATCCAGGTTCAGGGTTTAGGGGGTTTTGGGCTTGCGTCACTTACGTCTGTACATGACATGAATTTAGGTGTTTTGCTAGCCCGGTGCCCTTTTCTTGGTTCTGGGCTCCCTTTAAAGTAGCCAACCCCAAGAGAAGGGTGCCCTTACTGTGACATGATTGCTGGGCTGCCAAGAACAAAGGCAGGCGTTGGCTTCTTGGAGGTAAATACATTCTACGGACCCTTCTCGAATCTGTAGGTCGGGAGGCTGAAGATCCTTTCGGTCTTGGGTTATCGCTTTTTGGCTTGAGGTTTAGGGTTTATGGTTGCTGAGTTACAGCGTCTCAGGGTTTTAGGGTTCTAGGGCAATAGGGTGTGAGAAGCGTTAAACCCTAAACCCTAAATCCTAAACCCTAAAGTGTTTTAGGGTGTTAGGGTTTTGGCTTCCTTTCAACGCGCCAAGTCCGACTGAGGATGCTCTGCGCTCTGGTCGGCCCCCAAGCAACAGGGAGGTTCGGGTTTAGGGTTTAGGGTTTAGGGCTTAGGGTTTTTTAGTTTTTTAGGGTTTGGGGTTTGGGGTTTAGGGTTTAGGGTTTAGGGTGTAGGGCTTGAGGGCCTGGAGCACACTGGAGCTTGAGCTCGGCGGGGTGCTCAAGTCTTAGTCTTGTTTTCTCCCGCCCAAGCTCGCAGACGCAAACCCCCTGAGCAAGCTTCCCCCCCCACGACAAACAAAAGAATCTTAACCCCTAAAACCCGAAAACCCGAAAACCCTAAACCCCTAAAACCCAAAAACCCTAAAACCCTAAAACCCTAAAACCCTAAAACCCTAAAACCCTAAAACCCTAAAACCCTAAAACCCTAAACCCTAAGCCCTCAACCCTAAGCCCCGAACTCCCCAAAGCCTCTAAACCCTCCAGAGCCTATGAACTTGCTAGACCCGAGCCTAAACCCGTCAAGTGATGCCCTTCTTAGCTTTCAAGCCCTCACCCGCCAACGGGCTCAGCGTTTCTGGTTTAGGGTCCAGGTTTTAGGGTTTAGGATTTAGGGTTAACCCTTATCCCACAACCCTCAACCCCAACCAAACCCAAAAGGGCAGGACCACCACCAACACCGCCTCAGATTGGACCCGGATTCAGGAAGCTTAGGGTGGATCTAGAGGGGTGTAGTAAGTGGAGGATAGTTCGTGGTAACCTAGTCACTTAGTCCTACTGGTTCTCAGTAGAGAATTTAGGAATAGGGTACCCTCACTGTAGTACTGTAGAACATCGCTCCCCCCTCCCCTCCCCCCTCCTGTGTGTTTTTCCGGCTTTGGACGGAAGAGGTATTTGGGGGCAGATGTGGAGAGACTACACCTTGGGAGAAGGGGGGGAGGGGGGAGGGGGGGGGCAGTCTCAAGATTCGTAACCCGAAGCCCCGTGACTCTCCTGGCGGCTCTTGGCTCAGAGCTCCACTCAGCATTGTGCTGCGGCACACAAAAAAAAGGTAGCACCTCTCTTTGGAAGCACACTATAAAGGCGCCTGCGAAGGGAGGGTAAGCCCTAGACCCTGAACCCTAGACCCTAGACTCCAACCCTAAACCCTAGACCCTAGAGCCTAGACCCTAGACCCTAAACCCTACCCCTGCACCTGAGCTTTCCGCCCTTGAAGCGTAAGCTGATGTAGAGAAATCCTCTCTAGGCTTCCCCCAAAGAAAGAAACAAGCGGGAAGCATGTCATATTTTTGGTTTACGGTTTAGGGTTTAAGGTTTAGGGTTTAGGGTTTGGAGGGGGAGGGGAGGCTGAGGATTTGGGGTTCCGCCTGTGGGTTGACTTCAATGAGGAGCCTGCCTTCGAAACCCTAAACCGTAAACCGCCTAAACCCGAAACCGCCTCAACCCTAAACCGCCTAAACCCTAAACCGCCTAAACCCTAAACCCCCTAAACCCCCTAAACCCCTAAACCGCCTAAACCCTAAACCGCCTAAACCGCCTAAACCGCCTAAACCCTAAACCGCCTAAACCGCCTAAACCGCCTAAACCCTAAACCCCAACCGCCTAAACCCTAAACCGCCTAAACCCTAAGCCGCCTAAACCCTAAGCCGCCTAAACCCTAAGCCGCCTAAACCCTAAACCCTAAACCCTAAACCCTAAACCCTAAACCCTAAACCCTAAACCCTAAACCGCCTCAACCCTAAACCTAAACCCTAAACCGCCTAAACCCTAAACCCCCTAAACCCCTAAACCCCCTAAACCCCCTAAACCGCCTAAACCCCCTAAACCGCCTAAACCCTAAACCGCCTAAACCCTAAACCGCCTAAACCCTAAACCGCCTAAACCCTAAACCCTCAACCCTCAACCCTAAACCCTAAACCCTAAACCCTAAACCCTTGTCTGCGCCACAGGCTACGTGGCTATCATGATGGCTTCGCCTGCGCCGATTCCGGAGCGGCCGCTGCATGAGGGCTATAGCGACTTGGCCTCATCCTCAACCCTAAACCCAAAACCCTAAACCCTAAACCCTAAACTGCCGAGAGCGCCGCTGTCCATTTACATGGGCGCTCGAGGCTTCGACCGAGGTCCCCGACCGAGCGTCTCCACAGAACGGTGAGGGAGGGTAAAGCCTCCCGGTAGACGGGGCCTGCAGTGCCTAGCTACGCCTCCGACCTAGGGCGTCAGCCCGCGTCAGCCCTAATATAATTAGGAGCCCAAAACCCGAGCAGGGGCCGGCCGAGGCCCCTGCGACCCCCAGCCGTTTTGCGACCCCCTCACACTCAAATGAACGGGTTTGCTCCGCGAAAGCCCGAGACCCACTAACATGCTCCCAAAGGCTCCAGGAGGCCGCTGGGACCCCTGCTCTTACAGTTCTGAAAGAAGTAAAAAGCAAGAAAGCCCCCCTTGAGGGGGGTTTGGGGGGTGAACCCTACACCCTAAATGAGAATAGTTTGGGTGGTTGGGGTGGGACTACATGCTAACGCAAGCGAGCGGCCCGGGTGCTTTTAGCACCAGCGAGCTTCCCTTCTATACACCCTAAACCCTAAACTCGAAGCCGTTTAGGTTTTGGGGAGCTCTGGGGAGCCTGAGAAAGCTTCAGGTCGACGTGCTAAGGGACACCCCCCCCCACAGCAAGCTCACACCAAAAATCTCAAGGGTTTAGGGTTTTTAGGGTTTTTAGGGTTTTTAGGGTTTTTAGGGTTTTTAGGGTTTTTAGGGTTTTTAGGGTTTTTAGGGTTTTTAGGGTTTTTAGGGTTTTTAGGGTTTAGGGTTTATAGGGTTTATAGGGTTTAGGGTTTAGGGTTTAGGGTCCATACTTTGGGAGCCCTTTGGGCCCTGGAACCCAAACCCTCGACCCCCCAATCTTCAGCCCTAAGCCCCTGAACCCCTGAACCCTGGAACAATTCGGAAGTAGGAGTTGGCCTTGCTCGTCCAGAGGTGACGGTGCACGCTTGCATCTTAGGATAGACTGGGCTAGCCCTAAACCCTAAACCCTAAACCCTAAACCCTATAACCCTGAAGCCTGTAACCCTCAAAGCTCCCTTGCTCCGAAGGCACCCCGCAACCGGAGGCCGAGGCTCAGTACGAGCCGATGTAGCTCGGCAAGATTTGAGGGCTTAGGGTTTAGGGTTCAAGAGCCCCAAAGCCCAGCCTTTTGTAGGCTCTTATGATACAAATCCCTTTGGAGGACTCTTGGGTAACCTGCAAGTTTTGGGGCTTTTGTGCCTCTCAGTTCGGGTTTCTTCGTGCTGTCACTCCCCTGGGCTTGGAATCCTGGGAAGTCCCTAAAACCCTAAACCCTAAACCCTAAACCCTAAACCCCCCCCCCCCCACAGAAGATGCCTTGGCGAAGCCCGGATCTTCTCCTAAGCAGCCCTGTTCCTCAGACCCCTATGTCCTGAAGTCTGAGTCTAAACCCAAGCTTCTCTCGGCAGGCCCTTGAGACATTCTGTATATTCCCTTGTTGAGTTTACGATTATCGTATTCAGGAATATGTGTTCAGACCCTAGACCCTAAACCCTAAACCCTAAACCCTAAACCCTAAACCCTAAACCCTAAACCTTAAGGGCCATCCTAGTTCTCAGGACCATCACCGATGAAATGGAGGAGGATTTGCACCGCCTACGTGCCTCCTCCGAGATTCTTGACATTCTCAAGGAGGCGCCGAACGATGGCAACGTTTGGCGCTTAATTCTCAGGGACCCTAGGCCCTAAAGCCCTAAACCCAAACCCTCTGGAGCAATTAAGCCCTAAACCCTTCAAGAAGCCCTCAACCGCGTTTCAGATGTTGGGTCCCCCCAGCCTTTGCGATGCCTGTGGTGTTCCACTTGTTTTTGAGTGTCAGTGGCAGGGGCCCTTTAATGTGGGGGACGGGACCCTAAAACCCTAAACCCTAAAACCCTAAAACCCTAAAACCCTAAAACCCTAAAACCCTAAAACCCTAAACCCTAAACCCTAAACCCTAAACCCTAAACCCTAAACCTTAGCTCAAACACCCTAAACGTGGCACAGGAGCCTTGAGGGTGGCAGCTGTGGGCTGGACCGGCCGAAGGGGGTCATAGATGCATAAGGAATATTCAGGAGCCCACGGAATCACCAAGTTTATACCCTTATGACCGGTATTCATATTTAGAAGTATATTAGAAGTATATTATTGCTATATTTAAGATTATATATGTATGTATTTATATGTATGTATTTACATGTCTTTATATGTCTATGTTTGCATGTGTATACTTGTGCGAATGTATGTGTGTGTGTACATGGGGGGGGGGTGCAGACCCTACACCATAAGCCCTAAGCCCTAAACCCTAAACCCTGGGCAGGGCCTGGTTCCCTTGCATCTCACAGCGCAGGTTGACGAGGACTTGCAACATCAGCTTCCAACGGTCCCGGCAGGTGGTACCGGGGATTCAGAGTT